GAGGATGTTATAATCGAACCATTGTCACTTCCGCCGCCGGTTCCGGATGCAATGAGGCCTGATCAACCTGTTCCAGCCGAGCAGTGAAAAAAAAAAAAAAAAAACTTTCCTCCGTCATTATTCTCTCTCATCGTATGCTTCTTTGACACTGCAAACCGCCGATAAATAATGCATTTTTTGCATTGATTACGTTTGTATTTGCAATAAATTTTTGATATCTAGCGATTGAAATAACTTGCTGACTAATGCTACTTTCGCTTTATGTGCACCGCAGTTCGGTGTATTTCTTCCCTGACCTGTGAAATACTGTTGAAACTGTTGAATTATCCTGATTCAGCTACTTCTCATGGCAGCTAGTGTTAAAGATATGTGATTGGGATGTTCTGTTGTTTTTGAAAAGTTATTTCCGAAAAGTCCTTTTGAAAAGTGAGATGTTCTGTTCTTTTTGAAAAGTTATGTTGGGTTGTGATAGATGATTGTCATACCAGTAGGCATGACGCAGTGGGAAGTAGCACTATTCTTTTGCAAAATTAGGTCGAGGGTCCCACTTCGCTGATGCGGCACAAGCCCCATTCTACCCTTCTCGACTGTTACACGAGCGATCAGGCTATGTTACATGAAAACCTCCCAGGCGTTACTTGAACTCGGTGCGACGATGGCTCATCAGTACAAGTAACCTACGTCAAATGCCCAAATACTACACCCAGAAAGGGCCGTTACTTTTATAAATGGGCGGGCACCCGACAGGAAGTATGCGTTACTCGAGCATTATATGAGCAGTACACTGGCTGCTCGCATCATGGGCACTTTTTTCGTGCACGTGAGCGACATATACAAATATATGTCCCCCGATACATGATATTGTAATCATCGATAAATTAGATCAGCACGTTTGTCTATTTATGGGTCATAATTGATTTTATACAACTTAAGAGCTTAAAAAAAAGAGTATCACTAGGCAGTGAATTTCATACACTTTGAAGCACTTTTTTTTGTGATAGATTTTCACTCAAGCAACAGACGATGTTTCATTGCTAGTTGTATCGACATGCTGACAAATCCAGGGATGTTCCATGACATTCTGCAGCGAAATGCGATTAGCCGGTTCTTTGACGAGTAGTTTACTGATCAAATCTCTGGCACCTTCACTGACGCTCTCCGGGAATTTGTACTTGACCTCCTTGATAAGAGCGTAAGTATCCCTGATTTCTTTGCGTTCGAACGGCGGCTTTCCCACCAATAGCTGTGACCACAGATGCACGTTCTCATCGTGACGCCAGCCTTGCACCATCTCGGGCGATAGATAGTCCATTGTGCCACACAGCGTCGATCGCTTGGAGGTTGGTGCGTGGACGCTTCATCCGAAATCGGCGATTTTCAGCTCCCCCCAGTAGCCCAACAGCAAATTTTCGGGTTTCAGATCGCGATGAATAACCTTCTTCTCGTGACAGTACTTTAGCGCATCGGCCATTTGGTAAATGAGCTTGTCGGCTTGTTCATCATCGAAATGGGCCCGCCCCTGCAGTTCCTTGTAGAGCTCACCAGCAGCTGCGTATCCCAAAATTAGGCAGACGCATTTCTCGTCGTAGAAATAGTTGTACATTCGGAGGATGTTCGGATATCTCAGGTGCGCGTGGTTTTCGATTTCGCGGCGTAGCTGCTGCTCCATGTGAATTCGGACGAGTTGCGACTTGAAGAAAACTTTCAGCGCCACAATAAAGTTCACTGTCTTGACGCGAGCCAAATAAACACTGCTAAGCTTGCCTTTTCCGAGTGGTCGACCGATGTCAAAGTCGCCGAGCCGGAATTCACGCGTTTGGAACGGG